ACAAAAAACCGCAAAACCCCTAACGCCCTAAACCCGAAACTAAACCCAAAGGCCGAATGCCGAGTCTCCACATCGATGCCCAGGGCTTGTGCCACGACCAAGATGTCCGAGAACCTGAACTCAAGGTGGAATTCAACCAGCCAGCAATCGCCTAAAAACGGTTCCCTTTGAGGGCTCCGGTAAGGGTTCTTGCAACGCTTTCTTGAGGGCTTCTATTTCAAGGATTTTCGGGCTTGGGCAGGGGAATTTCAAGAAGTGACGGTCCCCTAATACAGCGCTTACGGAAGCACGCCCTGTCATGAGACAAAGACGTAGCTTCACATCAACGGCATGTGCGGTCGGCTGTCGCAGCACGCCGAACCCAATGCTGGCCCAATGCTTCTATGTTGTAGGGATCTACTGCTGTGTAAAGAACAGAAAACCCCTGCAATCCAGCAGCAGCCATACTTCATAAAGCAGGAACAACAGTGAGAGGCTTCTTAGCAAGGTTCTGCCATGCCGAGCGGCAGGATTGCGGCATCCACGCCATACCTCCTGAGAGGCTGCATGGTGCACTCCTGGGCCAGGCGGAAACCTTAAACACAGAACCCTAAAACCGGACCCTGCTTGTAAACCTTCAAACCCCTATGTTCAACCCGGCTGCCCACACCTCCCAGCCCTGCATTCTGTCGACGATGCCTCCTCCAGGTTTAATTCAGACTGCTTGGGGTTGTTATTGTCACCGCCACTTGGAGCAGTATTCTGAACGAGTAGTACTTAGCCACATGGGATTTTGAAGCATCAGACCAGCAGTATATTAACTCTCAGTCAGGTTCAAGGATGAGGTTGAATTTACGATGGACGTGGCAGCCAGCCGGTCGCTTCCGAAACGTACGCTGTCATAGTTACGAGAACTACCTTGACGGGCCCACAATGGCCCACAGATCAGGCAATACAGTGCGATACAAGAGCTAGGCTCCGAAAGAGCAATGATTGTCAATCTCGATCTTCGTTTCCTGGACACCTCCGTGCAGGACTAGGCAGTCACTGTTGCCACATCTCATGAAGATCGCTCCGAAGTGGGACCAGATCAGCAGACGGATGCAGGATACGCTGCCGTTGCTCGCTCGAGGCGTCGAGGATGGGACTGGTGACCGAGTGCGATCAGGAAACCAACTATGATTTCCTGCGCTGCGTTCTTGAAGTAGCCGCTTGCTGTCTGGCAATTCGTGGCTTGCACAGGTTGAAGTTGCGAGGCTCTGCCACCCATCCACAGAATAAGGCCGAAATTCCAATAATTAATAGTACCACTAGACCAATCAGCCAATGAATGCTTCTTCCGGCCAACCCATGATAATCACAAACTAGCTTGTCGGTGCAGCATATAAAGGACCTTCATAGTACCCTAAGCCCTCAGAGTAACCTTACAGTACCCCAAAAATAGGACCGAAGCGCTCGTAGGTTGCTGGGCTTAGGGCTTCGACTCTCACGCTTGCACTGGGCAGTCACGGATTCATGGTCGCGCATAATTAAGGTTTAGGGGGCTCGTATCCCAAACCCGGGGCATTCAGAGTCTTAAGTTCGAAACGAAAGCAAGAATTGCGAACTAGTAACCCCTTTTCAATCATGGTCACTATAGTCCCTTTAAAAGTATGATATACCCCATTATCAGATCACGGCCCCTGTGCCCAAACAGAAAAAACCCTTGTCCTAGCAGGGCCCCGGCTGCCACGTCAGCGGGATCGTCCAGGAGCTGCAGAAAGTTCTTCCCCCCTGCGGTCGGAAGTTCAAATTTGTCTGTACTTTAGTTGAAATACATGTGGTATTGCAGCTGGAACTTGGTGACTGTGTTTTGATATGTGCAGGAAATAGAAAAGAACGTAGCTCAAATCTATCTATGTATATACATATACATATATAGGTACCTTGGTCGGGTTTGGGGTGTCAGGATTCCCCAAACCCTCATCAAGCAGTTTAAAAAAAACAGCCCTTGTAAGGCCTAAGCGATCTTGTCTCGAAGCTGCAGATCTTTCAACTTGCATAGGATAGCTTGGGGACGACAGGGTTCAAGGTATTTTTCCCTCCTACCTAGCAAGGACGAAGCCCGCATTGCAGGGTTTAGGGTTTAGGGCATAGGGTATCTGGATTAGGGTCCAAGGGCGCTCCTGTGCCCCGATAAAGCTCCATGGGCCTCTGGGAGTTACGGCTTAGAGTGAAGGGTTTAAGGGCGTAGGGCTGGGACCCAGAAAAGCCGCAGGCCACCGGAATCCCAGTCCACAAGCCTTAGGCCTTAATAAGGAGCCGTAATTTACAATTAGAATCTGCCATAAATTCAAAAAAAGGATCCAAGAGTGGCAGAATGGCAATCAGGCTTTCATATTAAACCGCCAAGGCCCACAAGCCCGAAAACTTGCATCCAAGAGTCTCTTGACTTTGTACTCGTTGTATTCCTCGGCTTTACATCCATTGGAGAGGCTCCCCTATGTTGCTTTAGGGGTTGAGGGTCTCGGCAAGTTGTGCGCACCTGATGGTGTAGAGTTTATACGGTTTCGAAGCTTGGAGGCCTTGCTTTTCGAGTTTCGGCAAGACTCTTTCGAGCACCTGAAGCCGAATTGGCCAACCTTGTTTGCTGAAAAGCCGCTGCTCAAGTAGAGCCCTTATTGGAGCCGTAGCCGACGCCCGAACAAATCAACATCCCCAATCTCAAATCCTGAATGTCGACACTGCACCTAAACACCTACCTGAAGCTACCAGCACCTACTTGTTCGTAGGTTCTTTTTATGAACCGTAACATCCAATGTGTAGCTCAAGGTACATCTCAAGCCCATATATCTTCTGAACTGACATACACCTCGAACCTAATGTGGACGCCAATCCTATTCCTGAGGGGTTGTCATTATATCCATGGTTAGTATCATATACCCCCCAATCGCTAGTCTAATTATCAAGGCCCTTAAACTAGAACCCTGAACCAGGAGAAACTCTAAGACACCAAAGCCGCAACGTAGACCCCTGATTCATGCCCCCCCCCTACCTCAAAGGGTGTGTACTTGGGATCCACCCCTTGAAATCCTGAAAGGAAAGCACTTTTAACCAATCAAGGATCAGCATTAGTCGAAGCTCCTACACAGCAAACTCTAAATCCGACGCATTTCAAGATCTCTAGGTCATCCGAAACCAGCCAAGAGTCGGGTAGATGTCTGCCTGCTTGTCGGAACAACCACACTGGCACCTGATGTAGGTTAATTTTGCTTGTTACTCTTATCATACCAAAGCCCATAGTAGTTTGCAGTCACCAATGTCATCAAGCCGCTGTGTGCAGAGTCACCAAATCCCTCGCCTGACCTTGCCTTAGCAATTGAGCTAGTTCTTTTGATTTAAGTTTGCTCGCAGCTCCAACCCGCAACCCCAAGACCATGACCCTAAGCCAATGCTGAACTTCAGGACCCTGATCTCTAAACTTCCTAAACCCTGAAACCCCAAAGTGTAAACCCCAAAACACCAGAAAACCAGGCAGTGACGCCCACCTGCGGCTCCCGGACGGGCTTCAACCCCCTTGCCACCTGCAAGCACTAGGATAATTCTCCACATTAGGGTGCCGTTTAGGTTCCTTCGTATTAAGAGTGTATTATTTTGGGGTCCTCAAAAGGGACCCTAATTTAGAGAACTGCCCGTTTCTGGGTCCATCTGAAACTTGCGTCAAGCATATTCAGCGATATAATTAGCATCCCTTTTTAGGAACAAAGGAAGGCGGTAGCCCTATGAAAGGGGCCTAAAACGGACCCTAACTTAGAGAACTACCCATATTGTAAGTGCAGGGTCGAGATGGAGCTCCGAAGATTGATAGCTGACGCTCTGATTGTGAAAGGTCGAATTCGGAGTGAGTGCTGTGGGCTTTATTGGGATGTAGCGCAGAGGGTTCTAGCAAAGGTTTGCGCTTTTGGATGTTCAGGGCTTTCACATGAAGGCTTGGTGCTTCAGGGTTCCAGAGTTCAGCATTCGTAAGTTCACCCTCCTTGAGCCTGACGTGGAACCTAGAATGGCCCCATTGTAGTCTGCAGCCCGTTTACTGGGGCAATCGGGGCTCATAGGGCTCATACTAAGCCAGTGACCCGAAACCTTCTCTCCTTACATGCGCTTGGAGCATCCGACGCGTCTCGCTTGAACTCATCCAAACCTAGACCCTAAACTTGTCTCGCATCCGAGCCTGGCAAAGAGATGCAGTGTCTGCCTCGGCCCACGCGGTGACCTTCGAGTGCCGCAGCCTCGCAAGAGTCTCGGGAGACGCCAAAGCTCCTAGGCCCATAGATGCTTAGCTCTCATTTAAATCCCAGCAGCAAGGGGCACTTGGCCTGTTGCCGTAAAGCGTAAGGGTCCGTCACAATAACAACGCTAGCAGAAACCGCAACAAGCTCACTGTAGACTCTCGTCCTTCCTCGCTATCCGTACTATCAAGAAGGAGTCTCCTAATATGTGATCTTACGGCATTATCACCCACACAGAATGCAAACACAGCGGTAGCACAACTGAAGTGCTGGCAGAACAGTGTTCCGGAAGCACAAAAGGAACAACGCAGACTCGATTGTAGACCTGCTCGTTCTCATGCTAAAGTACACTGTTCTGGCCGCATGATCGTAGCGATATCGCACATCTAGAGGAAGAGCACGAGAATAGCTACAAACACGTGAGCAGGAAGAGTAATTGTCCGAGTAATGACAACCGCTCCAGCTTTTTCATCCACCGTCAGCAACTGAGCTGATGATTTCTGACAACTAAGGACATCCTTGCACCCGGAACCGGTAGGTTCGGGATATGGTGAATGGACAAGCTTGTTCCATGCACGAGTCCAGCAGATGTTCACGGTTCAGGAGTCTGGGGTTGAGAGTTTATAAGCTCCTGAAGGTTTAGGGTTTATAGGGCTGCCGGTAGTCACAGGGCTTATAAAAATGCCTTACAGCACCGCTTATTCAGCTACATAGGTGTCATGCGGCGCTGAAACGGTCACATCCGCTGGATTTCTCTCACCAACCGGATTTGGGGCCTCGGGCCTCTGGTTCATCCGGGTTCGGCTCGGCCGAAGACCGGATGGATGGGAAAGCCACGGGAAAGGCAGTGCAGCACTGTAGTGGCACCAGGGCCAAGTAGAAGGGCACAAACCCAATCAGTGACAATGTGAAGTGGGAGCCCGCATAAAAACCGCAGTTCTTGTAGCACACCGGATGCCCGGCATAGCCGCAATCCGGCTCCATGACTGCGACCATGATAAAGCTCGCAATTGCGAAGGCGTGGGACAAACTGCGGTAGACGGATGCGGGATTTCTGTCATTGCCAGGACCATGTGATTTATCGTAGAAGTGCACCACAAGCCAAACAAGGGCGCAAACAACAGCCGCAGCTGTAAGGCAGTACATGAAGCCTTGGAAGTGCCTGTCCCCAGGGACTACGACTTCAACGAGGCCAGCCAGGACCACTGCCAGTCCAGCAAGCCAAGCTGTTGCCTTCAGACACCTTCGGAAAGGGTGTTTTGGGCTTGAGGGTTACAACTTGCAAGGCTAGACTGCGATTGTTCAAGCTTTTAATGGGTGCAAAATCGTGTCAACTGAGTGTGAGAACGGGACCTGCGCTGTCGCACAGAAAACCGCCCCAAACAGCACACGAATGTGGACTCCGAAAGTCTCCAAAGGGAGCGCTGCCCCGCGTGCTCCCACGCGCCTCACGGAGCAAAGGGCCTCCAGTGCTCCGCAGCTGGTAATGAGCAAGCAGGCCCAAGCAAGGATGATCACGGCCTTGAATTGGGTTCGGTACTCCAAAAGCAAATCAAAAGCTATCAATCTCAGCAGCAAGAGTTCAGTTGTAGTTGTAACAGTCCTCATCCTCTTCCTCCTCCCCCGTCCTTCCTCCTTGTGGTCGTCGTCTTCGTGCCAACACTGCCATTATTGGGTCATTTTTCTCTCGCAGCATGGTTTAGGGCTTAGGGCCACAGCCTCCGAGTTCAGTTTTAGGAGATCCTGGCCTTGCTCGTCTGGATGGCCCAGTTCGCATCACCCGTGTACACCTGTGTGGATACTGCTGCAGCGAAGTAACCCGCAGTAGCCAGGACAAAGAAAGCGACGTGAAGCCTGTCAGGGAGGGAGCTTCAGAAGGCTTGGCGAATGGCCCTCGCCTGCTACAGTCAAGAAGGTGCGTACGACCCCTCAAGCCCCAGGCAATCTCTGAAACCGATCAACCCCGGAGCCTGTCACTTCTCACAGCCACTGGCTCGTCCCTCCGGCTGCAGTGGCAGCACAACATAAGCAGGCCGAAAGAAAGGGAAGCCACGGCACAAACGTAGAAGGTCGACAGGGTGCCAGTATGAGCTGCTGGTGTCTGTGCAGGGTCAGGGATCGGATCATCCAGAAAGATGTAGCCATTGTAGTCACAGGCCATGGCAGCGAGGGCCACTTAGACCCCTGAACCTGAACACAATCTGAACGTACAGTAAAGGTCCCGGCACCTGATAATAACTGTCACATATCATATATCATATATATATATATACACATGCAGATATATATATATATATATATATGTGTGTATATATATACACTATATATATATATACCTCACCCAGGCCAAAATAAACTAATCTGCAAAATGTGCGCTGAGCCCAAGCATCCAGTGTGCTCTAAGCGAAGCCCCGTTGAATCATCAGCCATGGATGACCGTATGGGTGTATGGCCCCAAATAGGGACCACCAGAGTTTAGAACAGCCCCCCAAGACCTCTTGCAACGAAAGCAGAATCTAGTTACGAAGGACTTCTTGCTTTGTACCTAGGGCATGTTGTGGGATGCATAGAGCGGCTGCACTTCCTCAGACTCCTAAACTTGCACCGAACCCATCTGAAGCCCCAAAACTCTTCAAGTCACAAAATCCACATCCCGAAACTCGGCTAGGGTCAGCCTCTAGCTCAGCCTGGTGTTAGGACGCAGAGGTTCCTGCTTCAGAGTACTTGGATCTGTGGGGTTCAAAGTTCAGGGTCCAGAAAAGATGGGGAGTTTAGTCCGGTTTGGAGGCTTTAGTCCGGTTTGCGTCTTCCGCTTTGAGGGGCTTCGGACTAAGCGCAGAAAGGCAAGAGCCGGACATGTACACAGGAGTGCTCGCTCACTCAAAATAAACCACCGACAGGCCACCTTCTCGGATCCGTGCGAGCGCGCGGGCGCGCAACCTGCAAACCGCTCTGAGTCATATGACAGGTGTTCGAAAAGTGCCTTTAAAGGGAAAGCTCGAATGTATGCCCTTACAAAGAGACTGTGATCAATCTGTTGTGGGAGCAGTTTGTCCAAGAACTACCCTTCACTGGAGGGTTTAACCTCAAGTCAGGAAACTTTCGTGTGCACTGTTCTTTTCGCGGCCGTCCCTGTGGGTACTGTGAGCTGGCTGGACTCGAAGAACCAGACGGATCATCGGCTTGCAGGCTAGTCATGAACTCTGTCTTGGATCCATGTAGACAAGGATGCTCCGGGCATGAAATAATTAAGTAGCATAGCTGTGGGTTCTGAAGACTTCTCTCACTGTCTACTCCATGCTCTTCCAACTCTAAAACCCTCAACCGCGAGCCACGACGACAAGCCATATCCGTCGCAGACCCACTGGTAGACTCAAAGGACTCGAACCAGCACCACAACAAAAGAGCCCGTTCGCTCTGCCGAAATTCTTACCGGAAAGCTGTCAACCACTCACCTCGAAGGTTTGGGTTCGAGGTCTTATCTCCTGTCACTACGTGATGGCCAGCCAAAGCTGGGAGCTTAAACCTCCTGAATCGCTGAAGCCTAAGTGCCTAAAACTGCACACCTCAAACCACGAACAAGGCAAAACAAAGACAACTGCAAATCTAAGTCCTAAATCCTTTAAACCCCTTTTCCGGGTCTCCAAACCGACGAGAGAAAGCCAGCACCTTGGCTTTCAGTCAGATGCCTTCGAGTCGGGTGTGTAGGTGTCTGTCTTCTCTGGTTTGGATTCAGCTGAGACTCCAGAGTTAAAGGATAAGGTGGCCGAGGTTATATAATCAGAAATCTGGGCAACCGAGATAAGGTGTTAGAATCCAGCGTCTAGGTAGATGGCATGGCATGACTGCTGTGTAGCTTTGCAGGTCCTTCTTCGGGTCTTCTAGGAGTTTAGGGACTACCAATATCGACAGGAGTTCTCTGCAGTACTCTCCAGTCCCTGCTCGGCTCCCTAGTTCACATGTGGCGTGCTCCTCGGCAGAAACTCTAATTGGAAACTGACAACATGGAGACGAGTGCTGGCAGTCCATATCGCCTGCTTTCGATTTTGGGACATGGGACGGTGAATTTCTCACTTCATGGAAGCTAAACCTGAACCCCCAAGCCGTCTAAATTCTGCACCCCCAAGCCGGCCAATCCTGCAAGACCTTCGGACAGAAAGCAAGCAAGGGCTGACATTCTTTTGGGTTCAGGCCTGGGATTTAGGACCGAAGGGAGCCGGGAGTCGATGCCATACGGGTACAAAGCAGCATGGCACCCTTAAGCCTTGCTCCAACCCTACACGCCAGCGCACACCCCAAAACCAATGAGAATGAACGACGATAAACGCCAAACCCTTATAGACCCTGAAGGGAATGAACCCAAATCAAGCTCTAAATCTTAAGCGCCGAACTCCCAACCTTGATGGCCCCAAAACTTAAACTGCAAACACCAAAAATCCCTGTTCAAAGCAACTGACCTTCCGTTCGTTGGTATCTAACCTTCTGACCTTTTCGTTTTGGGAGCATTAAGGGGCTTTGAAAGCAGGATTTAAAGTGAGCATTGAAGACCATGAACAGTGAACAGTGGACAGCAACAGCAGCAAATGCAGGAGCAGCAGCAGCCGGAACAGATTGCAACTTGGAATGGGGGTGGGGCAGGGAAAGCTCATCAACGATGTCATGAATATATTGTTGCCAGAGGGAATATACACGACACTGTTCTCTGTAGTAGTAGTAGTAGTAGTAGTAGCAGCAGCAGCAGGAGTAGTAGTAGTGGTAGTACCAGCAGCAGCAGGAGTAGTAGCAGCAGCAGCAGGAGTAGTAGCAGTAGTAGTAGTAGTAGTAGTAGTAGAAGTGGTAGTAGTGGTAGGTGGTAGTTGTGGTCGTCATGGTAGTTGTAGCGGTAGTGGTAGTGGTAGTGAAAATGGTAGTGGTAGTAGTACAGTATAAAGTGGTAGTAGTAGTAGTCGTAGTACTAGTAATAGTCGCAGTAACGACACTGTCCCCTGTCCAATGTGCATGTGCTCGCGCGCGCTGTTGACTGTGCTCGCCCACGCTGCGCGCGCACTGCGCGCACACTGCGCGCACACTGCGCGCACACTGCGCGCACACTGCGCGCACGCTGTTGCCTGTGCTCGCACACACTGCGCGCGCTGTTGCCTGTGCTCACCCACGCTGCGCGCGCACTGTTGCATGTGCTCGCACCCGCTGCGCGCGCACTGCGCGCGCACTGCGCGCGCGCTGTTGCCTGTGCTCGCACCCGCTGCGCGCGCACTGCGCGCGCACTGCGCGCGCGCTGTTGCCTGTGCTCGCACACACTGCGCACGCTGTTGCCTGTGCTCACCCACGCTGCGCGCGCACTGCGCGCGCACTGTTGCCTGTGCTCGCCCACGCTGCGCACGCACTGCGCGCGCACTGCGCGCGCACCGTTGCCTGCTCACCCAAGCTGCGCGCGCACTGCGCGCACACTGCGCGCGCACTGCGCGCGCACTGTTGCATGTGCTCGCACACACTGCGCGGACTGTTGCCTGTGCTCACCCACGCTGCGCGCGCACTGCGCGCGCACTGCGCGCGCACTGTTGCCTGTGCTCACCCACGCTGCGCGCGCACTGCGCGCGCACTGCGCGCGCGCTGTTGCCTGTGCTCGCCCACGCTGCGCGCGCACTGCGCCCGCACTGCGCGCGCGCTGTTGCCTGTGCTCACCCACGCTGCGCGCGCACTGCGCGCGCACTGTTGCCTGTGCTCGCCCACGCTGCGCGCGCACTGCGCACACACTGCGCGCGCATTGTTGCATGTGCTCGCACCCGCTGCGCGCGCACTGCGCGCGCACTGTTGCATGTGCTCGCACGCGCTATATTGCCTGTGCTCGCACACGCTGCGCGCGCGCTGTTGCCTAATGCGCGCGCGCTGTTGCTTATGCCACTACCACTACCACCACTATCACTACTACTGCCACTACCGCTACCACTACCACTACCACCACCACCACTACTACTACTACCACTACTACCACTACTACTACTGCCACACTGCTGCTGCTTCTGCCACTACTACCACTACCACTACTTTAATGGACCGGGTTTTAGCTAGTGACTTATAGGGGTTATGGAGGTTAGTAAAGGGTTGTCAAGTGGTTATCATAAATGGTTACATAAGTGGTTATGGAAGGGTTTATGTAAAGGGTTATGTAGAGGGTTATAGTGGTTATGATCTAGGCTTTAAGCCAACAATATTTGGTATGTGCACTATAGAATTTCGGAGGTGCACCTTATGATTTTATTAAGATTCATGTCCTACCAAACCAAAATTCGTGTAGAATGGAGTTTGTTCCCGCTGCACGGCAGCTTCTGCAGCGCGCGAGAACCTGCTCAAAATGACTTTACCCCGCATCCTGGCTGACAGGTTGCTTGGTTGCTTCAGAACATGCGCAAGCACCTTCCATGGGAGGTATACAACGTCGTTGTTGCAACATCGACTTAGCCCGAAGCCTGGCTGACAGGTTGTTTGGTTGACTCTTTACCCCAATCCTGGCGGGACGACAACTTTACCCCATAATCGTGGCTGCCAGGTTTGGTTGCTGCAGGCGCACCGCAAGATGCCCCAAGCCAGGCGAACAGGTTGCTTCAGAACAGTGCAAGCACGCCCCAGCAACGACTTATATGTACCCCTGCCTGACAGGTTGATTGCATGGTTGCTTCAGAACAGCACAAGCACCTCCCAGCAACGATTTTATTATACCCCATCCAGGTGCACTTCCCAAGAAGGATTTCATCACGCGTGATGCACTTGAGTTGGAGTATATGACCGGCGCCGCTTTCTCATCGCTCTCATGTACAGTGCAAGCGCCCCGGGGCCAAGACACACACACACACACACACACACACACTGACACACACACACACATGCACAGAGACATGCGGACACGGCAGAACTCACAGACCGGGAAACAAGAGATGAAGCACGGCACCACTTTGGAATTACATCTCTGCCGCTGTAGACTATACTAACTCCCTGGCACTGAACTTAGCATGTACATATGCATTTCTATACTTGTGACTCGTCAGTGGCGAGCACATATGTGCTGTATATAGATATATAAATCATATATACATAAGTAAGTCACAGACAGAGTATAGCTTATTGCTTTTTAACACCCTGGCCATGGAAGAGCACGCTGCCGAG